AACATTCCACCCCCTCACCGTGTGTGTGTGTGTGTGTGTGTGTGTGTGTGTGTGTGTGTGTTTATACAGGAAAAATTACACGAGCTTGGATAGTCAGGGGACAGATTGTAAAGGGCTTTATAAATCATGGTAGGGATTTTGGACTTTATGCTAAGAACAATGGTGAGGTACTAGTTGGTCTTAAGCAGGGAAGAATTAAATGTGTATAGTATTGCAGTTTGTTTTCTGGTGGCTCTTGCAGTATTTTTATAAAAATGAAGAATTTCAGCCGGGCTCGGTGGCTCAGCCTGTAATCCCGCGCCTTTGGGAAGCTGAGGTGAGCGGATTGCCTGAGCCAGCGGGTTTGAGACCCGCCTGGGCAGGCAAGACATCATCTCTACAATAAATCAAAAAATTAACCGGGCGTGGTAGCGCATGCCTGTAATTCCGGCTACTCGGAAGGCTGAGGTGGAAGGATTGCTGGAGCCCAGCAGGTGGAGGCTGCAGTGGCCGGGAGCGGACACTGCACTCCAGTCTGGGTGACAGAATGAGACTCCAACTCAAAAAAAAAAAAAAAAAAAAAAAAAATTTCTAGTATGATTACATTGTATTTAACATAAACAGGATCATGGATTATGCACTTGAAAATAATTTTCTGGATTAATTGGCGTTTTCATTCCTTTGTAAAGCATACAGACTGACATTAGACACACGTAGCTAGTAGGATCCTGAAAGTCCATCTATATTTACTCCCACCAGTTGGTTGTGGGTGTGCTAAAAGTCAGTTGTTTACTTTGTTCACAAACTTGGTTTGTGGTTTTTCAAAAAATATATAGTTCTATATGTTATAAGGAAGAGATACAATATGAGTTTGAAAGAAGTATATTTTTCCTATTAAAACGAAATGTAATACTAAGCATGTGAGAACACTGCAAAAGTTTGGGGGAAAAATTGAACATAGAAGGACTTGGCACTCAGATTGAGTGGCAAAGGTCTTTGAGAACTTCCACTTAAACCAAAACTGTAAAATCATAGTGGTGTATTATATTTATGGTTTATGACTTCAAACTCTAGGGTGTGGTTAAATATTGAAAAAAAAAATCTTGGCCCTATACCAAAAGATTGGTGAATAAATACACATAACTTATTTCAAGGTAAAATAGTAGTTAAGATATACTGAAGATATACTGATTTTTGTCTCATGATCAACTTTTTTTATTCACCAACTACTAGCCCCAATTACATCAGATCATCTGGCTTTTGTATATTGCACAGAAATTAAGCATAAACTATATGAGTAACGAAGTACTTAGAAACCATTTAAAGCTCTTTCTCAACAAAACATCTCTTAAAGCAGTTCCCAGTGTTGAAAGATTTGAGGTCCACCCTCTCCTGGGGGCCATGATTGGGTGGCTTTGCTTCCAGAAGATCCACTTCTACTACATAAAAAAAAAAAAATGACTTGGCTCCCACAGGTGTGACGACAGAAATCCTGGCAGCATTCTGTTCCTTCTGATCTACCAGTCAGGGTTTATTTTATTTTATTTATTTTATTTTATTTTATTTTAGTTGGATTCTCACCCTGTCACCCAGACTGGAGTGCAGTGGCCGCTCCCGGCCACCGCAGCCTCGACCTGCTGGGCTCTGGCGATCCTTCCTCCTCAGCCTTCCGAGTAGCTGGAATTACAGGCGCGCGCTACCACACCCGGCTCATTTTGATTTATTGTAGAGATGAGGTCTCGCCAAGTTGCCCAGGTGGATCTCGAACCCACGGGCTCAGACAATCCACTCACCTCAGCTTCCCAAAGGCGCGGGATTACAGGCTGAGCCACCGAGCCCGGCTCAGTCAGGGTTTTAAAGGAACCATTTCTATTTTCTCCTTTCTTCCTGCCAGGAGCAGAGGTAACTTGGAAGAGACTGTAACAAAAACAGCTTGATGACACTAATGAAACTGGCTGCATTTAGCCTAGGAGCCCCCTGACTCCCAGTGGCTCCTGCTGGGAGAGGGAAGTCAATGAATAAGAACAATGATGTTCAGTGTGACGGGCCTCACTTTGGCACCTATTTTCCCCCAAATTATGTGGTGCCTATTTTTTGTTTAAAAATCACTGACAAGGTAATACAAGCTTCTGGTAGAATTTCAAACCGCACAGAAAGGTAAAGTCACAAACTATTAGTATAGCCTTAGGCAAGGCATGGAGCCTCTGTGATAGTCACATTTCCATTTGCTAAGTAGGATAACAAGAGCTAATTTCTAGATATGTTCTGAAGATATGAGATGATGTATGCAAAATGCTTGTAATTGTTCTTTTATTTATGGTTTATAGGCATTATTTTCATACCCGTGACCAAAGAATAATTTTCCGCTATTGTGAAGTTTGTTGTTTTCCAATAGGTTGGAAACATAGGAAAGAACACAGTAAAAATGGTGAGGTAGAAAATGATAGTGACTTGTAATGGTCAGTGGGATGATGTCACAGTCACATAACACTTACATTATGCTATGAGAGGTCCCACAGGTGCTTCAAATCGAGAGAGACTACAAGTGAACAAATTGGGGCTCCTCACTCCAGACCAGCTAATCTCAACAATGTCATAACAGTCATCCAAGATCTCACTTTGGCAATTTCGGTCATAATAGACACATTTTTCCCTCTCAATTAATCGTATCTGTTTATTCTAGACTTAAATACTGACTCTTCCTCCTTTCCTCTCCTTTTCAGTCTTCATGGCTTTCAGCATCACCTCATGAGTTTGGCAAACACTTCTTTTTTTTTTTAATTTTTTTTTTGAGTTGGAATCTCACTCTGTCGCCCAGACTGGACCTCGACCTGCTGGGCTCCAGCGATCCTTCCGCCTCAGCCTTCCAAGTAGCTGGAATTACAGGCATGCGCTACCACGCCCGGCTAATTTTATATTTATTGTAGAGATGAGGTCTCGCTGCCCAGGCGGGTCTCGAACCCACGGGCTCAGGCAATCCACTCACCTCAGCCTCCCAAAGGCGCGGGATTACAGGCTGAGCCACCGAGCTCGGCTTTTTTTTTTTATTTTAAAGATGTGGGGTACAATTCAGGGTTAGGTATACAAATGTTCATCATGCAGTTACCCTTGTTGATGAGGTGTGCCCCTTCCTCCCCTGGCAGTTTTCCTCAACTGCCAATTCCAACTCCCACCTTCCTCTGGCAGTTTCCCCACTACTGCCAATCCCTTTCTTATAGTATTATGATAATTGTTCAAGGTCGGCTTATGAGTGAGAACATGTGGTACTCTTCTTTGTTTCTGTGATAGATCACTGAATATGATAGACTCTAAATCCATCCAAGTTGCTGCAAAGTCCATATGTTTGCCCTTCTTTATGGCTACATAGTATTCCATTGTGTATATTTATCACATTTTTTTATCCAGTCCAGCTTCGATGGGCAACATGGTTGGTTCCATGTTTTTGCTATTGTGAATAGAGCTGCAACAAACATGCTTGTGCAGGTATCTTTTTTGTAGAATGATTTGAGTTCCTCCGGGTATATTCCCAATAGGGGGATTGCTGGGTCATATGGAAGGTTAATTTCTAGTTCTTTCAGAGATCACAGCACTGTCTTCCAAAGAGATTGCACTAGGCAAACACTTCTTAGCTGGCCTCTTCCCTGCCAATCTATTCCCCACTAATCCATCTTCCCTACTGATGGCAAACTGATCCTCCTAAATTGCCCTAGTAGCGAGTTTCTTCACTGATTAATTTTTTTCATTGTCATCTGCTGTATAAATTTCCGTTTCCTCATACAGCATCCAAAGTTACCACAGGGAATAAATCTAAAGTGCTTGAACAGTGTCTGGCACACAGGAAGTACTATAAAAATGTATTATATAGAACTATTGTTATTTGTAGATGGCCTGGTCTCCTCTCTCCTTTTCAGTCTGAAATGCTGTCACTCTTCCATAAACATTATTGCTCACACTTTTCCAAGCACACATCTGGGCTTTACACACACAAACACACTTCCACGTTTTAGAAGGCCTAATTTCCCCTATCTCTATGTGGAACTGTCTTCTTTATATCCTCCTCTCCTGTGGCTGCATAGCCCCTCTCACACACCAACTAGTTAATTTCCTCCAATTCTTTGCAAACTCTGGACGCTGCAATGCTTTTCCAGTTGCAACCGCCACACTTGATCATAACTTTTTTATACGCTCCTCTTCGCTAACAGGTGGTAAGCTCTCCTAAGGAATGAAGGGATCCTATTTTTCTTATTTCAAGCACTTGACTCAATGCTGGCACATAGGAAGCGCCTATTGTTTAGTAGGATTTTTTTTTTTCGCAAATGAAAAACGTAGGCTACTATTAGACAAAACGATATTAAGAATATGATGATATAGAAAGAAATTTCCACTCGGGCAGAATAAGGAAGTTCAGTCAAAATCTTAGTTTAACTTCCAGCCAAGCACTGCCGGTCAGGTTGCAGTTTGGTGGAGACCCTGACGTTTGGCGCCGTTGGCGCCACGTGAAGTTTGCATGAGGGTAATCAACATGCCGCCTTCCCTTCGATTTGGGGGTCACGAGGGGGCGTTTTATTCCACTCTCTGCAAACGTTCCCGGCGCCTCGCTAGGAACGGGAGGGTGTGAAGGTCTAGTCGCCCCCAGGGACTGTCCCTCCTGGTTTTTAACCCTCGGAGCCTCCACCCCGCGCAGCGCCCCCTGCCTC